TAGACCGTATCATTTCTTGTATGGGTTGATCGGGACATGAGTGGGTAATAGTATGGGTCGCTCGAAGCGTGGATCGTTTATAGCCTTAGTCATACGTAACTATGATATTTAGTCATATGGGTCTTTCGTAGACTGGGTTGTTCGTAGACTGGATCGTTCATAGACTTGGTCGTTCGTAGACTGAGTCGTTCGTAGACTGGGTCGTTCGTAGACTGTGTCGTTCGTAGAGTTGGTTGTTTGTAGGCTGGGTCGTTCAGTGATTCTGTTCTTTCCGTACTCCGAAACTCTATATTCTTTCAAATCATCGCTGACGTATTCCGGAAACGCGAGATTTGCTTCCACTTCCGCCTCTCGTGTCTGGTAACGACGACCAGGCGGGAGATGTATTCTACACATCATGATGTCTTCAAGTTCCAAACATCATGATGAATCCAAGTTCCACACATCATGATGAATCCAAGCTCCACACATCATGATGAATCCAAGCTCCACCCATCATGATGAATCCAAGCTCCACACATCATGATGAATCCAAGCTCCCCACATCGTGAAGAACCCAAGCTCCACACATCATAATGAATCCAAGCTCCACATCATGATGATTCACAGTAGCTAAATGCAGTCAGCTTAGTAAAATACATAGCGCATACCAAATCTAACTCCAGCAATACTCGAAAATTTATTTGTTGACTACGGCCCATTGAGTTTTCATGGCGCCACCTCACATCAAAATACCAGAAAAGAAAGTAAAATAAAAATCTGGTCAGAATAAAAAATTAAATTCTTCCAATACAATATTTTGATACTTATTGGTTCAGCTATTTAAATAATAAAACAGAAAAAAACAAGATTTGGAGTTTTTAAAAAACTCTAATTGTTTAATCAACCGGAAATCCTCATCCGATATTTCTAGAACTGTAAGCCAATTCTTCACTCGTCAAAATTCCATTTGAAGCAGACTCGTCAATTCCCTCCCCCCCCCCCTTCTTTTGGATAGATGTGCCGAGACATGGTGAGTAGTCGACGTCCGTGCATTGAGTGCCTCTCGTCCCCTGACTCGACGGAGGCTCAAAAATCCTTGATAACATGAGCTTTAAAAAAAAATCCTCTGCAGTAATTACTCACGAGCTGAAAATTTCAGGTCCCAAAAAAAAAAAAAAAAAAAAAAAAAAACGTGCCTGTCTCCGCTGGGCCAATTTGTTTTTCTACGACCCAAAAGGGAGCCTCTCCTCCCCTCTCCTCCCCTCTCCTCCCCACTGGAGGCCCAAGAATCACTTCTACTTCCGGTCTGTTGAAAGATTTTCTCACGCGGGCCATTCCTCCAGCTCACGTTCAAGACAGTGAGGACACTCGTGATCTGGGAGGGAGGGAGGGAGAGGAGGAGGGGAGTGACGTAACGTAAAGAGCCCGTAGTAAATGAAAGGCCCTCGCGCTGTCCTCGGCTCACCCCAGGGGTTCAAATAGAATCCTATTGGGTAAGTGGGCACAAAAAATTAAATTGTTAAAAGAACTAGCAATCGTCTCCGTCTACGTACGGATTTGGATCTCGATGGCTCGTAAATTCCTTACTGGATTATTCCAGCGCTATAAATAGACACGAGGAGAAAGCTTTGGGCGAAAACATTTAGATACACACACGTATATTCTGATTTAATACCTTTAACATAAAGCAGCTATACGTTTTAGTTAAAGATTCTAGTTAAAAATAACTTATACACAGTCCATGGAAGCCGTCTACAGAGAAAAAATATTTATATACAAAGTATTTTAAATTGCCTATACTGAAAAGTATTAAAGGCCTTGTTAGTTCTTTTCTCTTTAGAAGTCATACCATTGGTGGGTAGGACCCACTTGGTGTTTACTACAAAACAATTAAACAGTAAAGCTGGCAATAAACCTTAACCTACTCTAACCCTTTCATCTGACCCCAAACTTTACCCTTACGCTAAAGTTTAGAGTAATACTACTGCCAATACTAGCTAGTTAGTTACGACCTTTTCTCTACTTAAACCTAATTTCTTCTTCTACAAAACTAGCTAGTACAAAATTAAATGCAGATGCCTAGTAATAAGCTGTAAGCATTCACCTAGTTGTACTGAATATTTCTAAGTTAACTGAAAAAAAAATATCAATAAGCTTTAAAAATACCCGAACAAAAATGTGTTTTAATTTGTCAAAACATTGACAACAAAGGGATACATTAATAGACAGAAATTTCCTTTTTAAAACGGCAACACACTAAGTAATTTGGTCATACGTTATACTATTACAGCGTTTATTTTTACCTTAAGTGCGATATAAATATTTGATGTATCTATTCAAGTCTTTAAATTGTTTCTTTACCAAGTCTTATATTACTTTATTAAAACGTAACCGTGAAGCTAAATGCTTTAAAATGTAATTCGCGCTGACATTTTGAAAGTACCGTAATAATTCAAAAGTTAATTTCCCCTGAAATTAAGTTGTTTATGAACATATTAAAAAATCCAAAAATATATAAAGTAAACTTTTTAAATTGTTTTTTATTTACTTCTGACAAAAACATCGTTCAATTTTTTTATTAACTACCGATAACAATTCACGAAATCTGACGCAAATTTTGTTTCATTTTTAGTGACAAAAGGATTTTGAAACCAATTTATTTGAGACTAAATTGCCGGTGACGCAAGGACATTCTCGATTTCAAAACAACCGTTGTTTGTTTTCTAATTTTTTTTTTTTATATTTACCACAAACTATTGCAATATATGAAAAAATGTATGAAGAAAATAGTTGTTTTTTTTCTGCTACTGAGATCCTTGCTGATTTTTGCGCCCTACTTACCGAGTTGTGTAAATAAAAAAGAATGACTTAGATGGAATTGAAAATTAAAAATAGATAATAAATAAAAAAAAGAACTGCAAAAAATAGCAACCAATTTGTGTGGGATGAACAGAGAGAAGCAATATTTTGATCAGGATAAAAAAAACTTACCTTAAAAAATATATATAAATAGTTATCTACTTTTCAGTCTATTTTTAGTGAAAGGTTTTAATAAGCTTTGACCCTGAGGGTATTTTTTATAGTGATTTGTAACCGGTTTTTTTTCTCACTTGGATAGAAAGCAAATGTGATTAAATGTATGATGATGATTGTTTCTCAATTGGTAGAACTTTATTTCCTGTGGCCACAGAGTGCAAAAGGTGGACACTTACTTGATTGATTTTTATTCAGTTCAAAGTCCATTCGAAATCAAACAATTATATCACACACGACGTAGGTGGTGAGTGCTATAGATTCTGTGTAGCTGCTTATCAATTTGAGAACCAAACATTTTTTCATCAGTTGTGTAGACGAATTTGATATATAACATTTATGTGACATTATACAAGAAAAGCAAGTGTATATATATATATATATATATATATATATATATATATATATATATATATATATATATATATATTGAACGTTGTTAAAAGATTAAAAAAATATTTCAAGAAACCTAATAAAGAAAACGCCCATAAACGCAAACAGTCGTATGCATTTCTACAACATCTATTCTAATAATAAAAAGTGTTTTCAAAATTTAACTGACTTAGTTCCTCTTTTAACTAATGTTTGACAAAAAAAGGTTATGTATTAAGATTTTTTTTACACCTAATAACATAAACGATGCACGTTTCTTATTCAAAATACTTCCCATCAAATCTTTGAAATAAACTACTTGCTTTATAGATATTTCTCATTCAAACATTAAAATAAAGGAAACATTAAAACAAAACACGTCTCTTATTCAAACACTGAAATAAAACAACACCAACAGACTACACAAAAGAGAACCTCGCCTGTTTCATAATGTTGTTCTAGAACCACGAAACCAAGCACTTCCGGTGAACTATACGAGTTAGCTTCCCCTGTTTTATCGCCTTCCGCCTGAGAAGCTGTCGAAAGTAACAAGAATGAATGAGACATAATTTTAGTACTTTCGGTTTCTCTTTTACGACACCGGATCACATGACATTTAGACTAACCAAAACAAGTTTTATTTTCCTGTACTCAGGGGCGGGTCTAGATAGCGAACGTTGGCTGTCTAGCACATACAACCTTGTAAACATACAATTTGGAAGTATTTTTATTTAACAATATATAAATGCTATGTAAAGTTATCCTTTACAATTAGAAACGACGCGTTTATCACGTTCTTATGTACAGTATGTATTTTCAAGAAACGAAGGGGGAGGGGGTTAATTATCATTGGTTTCATTAACAGATATGTAATTTATCTGAAGAGCAATAATATCGGAGAAATGACCGGAGTTAATTCTCTAGACCCATATATGTAGCATTTGTGTCTACGTATGTGTGTATGTGTTGCATATATATATATATATATATATATATATATATATATATATATATATATATATATATATATATATATATATATATATATATATAATCTTTTGCACCCCTTCATTTAAAGACTAGCGCCGCCTCTGCTTACACCTAAAACCTTTCTCTGACAGATAATCGATCTAGAATAAACGAAAACGAAAAGGACTCCGCGAGCTTTCCAATGTTGTCTTGGACAGCCCTGCTGTTTTCCCGCAGACAAGACAGCCTGTTCTTAATCTTTTTAAGTAATGAAATCCATTTTTTTTCTCTCTCTTATACATTTTTTTTCACCCTACGACCAGACGTTAAGTGACGTCACTACCGGTCATTGCCTGTCACTCTGCTTGCCCCACCCATCATGTAAAAACTCACCCTTTGCTGTTCTTTGATTACTTGTATACACATCGATATTTTTTTTTACATTTTTTTTATTTCTTCTTCTACAGAACAGCCAACCCCTAGCAGACGGAAGAGGTGTCAGCCCTATAGGCGTTTTCTAAACGGGTTGGCAGACGACGTCACTCTTGCAGTTACCTCCCCGTTGATCAATGACGTCTGCTGTGTAAAAAAAAGAATTCCGCCACCAGTTTGTCTGACAGTACCGCCACATCCCGGGACAGAGTTTTAAACTTTGTGCTAATGAGTCATGTCTAGAGATTGTGGATCAATGAATCTCATCTTTCTCAAACCAATTTCTTGTTTTTTAAGATCGGATTAATTTTTCTTTTTTTTAAAACAAACAGAATGATCGGTTTCTTTCCGTATATGGACTTTTTAAACATGGCGCCCATTCCATCACTGACGTCGTTAAAATTTACATACGTTCTGATTTTCATGGTTTTTATACACGTAGGTCAAGGTCAGTCGTTTGACCTTGTGTACGCCATCGAAGAGGAAGTGCCCGTGCACACGATCGTCGGTCACGTGGGACAGGACTCCAACATCTCCCACCTGCTGAGCAACGAGGACTTCCAGATGCTCCGCTTCCGGCTGCTCCTCTACCCGAACTCCGACACCAGCCTCTTCACCATCCTCAACACCAGCGGCGTCCTCCGCACCGCCGCCCGCATCGACCGCGAGACTTTATGCCACTACGAAAGCACGTGCAAGCTCACCCTTCACGTGGCGGCGCAAACGGAATCCGGCCAGCAGTTCTACACGTTCAAAATCTTCGTCTACGTTAAAGACATCAACGACAACTCACCTTTGTTCCCCATGTCCACGGTCACCGTGACCATCGACGAGGACGCGGCCGAGTTCACCTCAATCCAAATCTCCCCCGCCGTGGATATCGACATCCTCAACAACACAATCCAATCCTACACGCTCCGACCACCCAGCGAGACCTTCGAGTTGAAAGTCTCGAGAAACCTCGACGACAGCCTCATCCCACAGCTTTTTGTCAAATCCCTTCTGGACCGCGAATCTCGACCTTTCTATTTTCTCAAGGTCGTCGCCCTTGACGGCGGCTCCCCCAGACGGTCCGGTGAATTGACCATCAACGTCACGCTGAATGACGTCAACGACAACGCCCCCAGGTTCTCCCAGCAGGTGTATGACGTCTCAGTGGACGAGGTGGCGCCCGTGGGGTCAAGGGTCATGACGCTCACGGCAACGGATGATGACGTGGGTCAAAATGGACGCATCAGGTGAGTTGATCAATGGTGTTGCCAGCTCATTTAACTAATTAACCTGATTAATTAGCAATATCATTTTGCCAAATTATAAAGCCAAAACAACCTGTCACTAAAATTCTAACTTAGGAACGACTCACTAACGACTAGCAAAATAGATAAAAGTTGAAACCCCTTTTATCTTATCTTCCAAAGAGCTATGTGGCTTTAATATCGTCCGAAAAAAAAAAGAAATAGTTCATCAAAACCTAGAAATAAGCTAATATCCCCAGTATTAGAATTATTATTCGTAATCTACTTATGACGTAGCATGGAAATTTTACTGTGCGGGACACGAACGTTATCATGTACCAGCTCTAGTTAAATAACTTTATCGTATTAGCACTAAATTTATTGTAACGTTGCCTCAGTATTACGCGTTTTAAAAATATAACCGTTTTGTCAATTGAAACAACAGTGCTATGTTTATTTACCTTGCACTCTTGAAGCGAGCTTCAGCTGAACTGCCATTAACATTCATACCCTGCCCTTCACCCTGCTGAAGTATGGGCCGCCAACCAATGATATTAAGAATTCCATGTCCTGTGGCATTTATTATTTGACTCTAGTGTAGTCCATCTTTAAAGTCTCAGCCCCGAGTCGCGTCTCCAGATATTTCCTGGTCGACATCTTCTGATCTTACCTTGATGGTTCCCCCTTAATATCTGCCTGATGATACTTGTTGGCAGTTTGCGTAGGCTGTGCCATATTCAACCCCATCTTCTTTTCCTGATATCTCCATCATCAGTAATTTATCCGGTTCTTTCTACGAGATTTTCATGTGTGGTGGTTGTTTACTTTAATTACACTGCAAATTATGTTTCTACTTGGGGTGAATCAAGTATATACTTTTAAAAACTAAGCTTTCATGTTCATCTACAAGTCGTAATAGAAAAAGTTAAGACAAATAGAATAAAATATTTTCAATTATTAAAATTTCTTTTATAAAAATAAATAAGAAATATTGTATCATTTCTTACACCCTTAAATCAGTAAACCCTAAATACTAACACAATCATTAAACAAATCTCCCGACAAAATCCCAAATACTTTCCACCCCCCCCCCCCACTCCCCCACTCATTTCGTCGCTTTTTCCATTTCCTTTATTCTTTGATTTCCTTAAGATAAAATATCGCAAGCCGCTCAGGGTAGGGTGTTGACTCTATGAAGGGCCATTAGCTCCTGGCTCTATTCACTTTAGCCAAATTGTCTGCCCTTGATCGGGTTTCCAATGTGATTTGAATTGTTGCAACCCTATCCGAGGTTTGGGGTGATGTCAATCTATGGCTACGTTCCTCGCTATGACTTGCCGGCTAACTTCAGTCACTACAAAAACTTGCTGACTAGCTTCAGCCCCTACAAAAACTTATCCGTTTTACTACCATTCCCTACAAAGACTTATCAATTAATACCATTCCATACAAGACCTGTCAACTAGTATCATTCCCTAAATAGACTTGTCAATTAGTATCATTCCTTACATAGACTTGTCAATTAGTATTATTCCCCACAAGACGTCAATTAGTATCATTTCCTACAAAGCATTGTAATTTTGTATCATTCCCTATAAAGATTTCTGTTAGTACCATTCCCTACAAGACTTGTCAAATAGTATCATTCCCTGTTAAGACTTGTTAGTAAGCTCCAGTCCTTACAAACACTTGTCAGTTAGTACCTTCCCTACAAGACTTGGTCTCAGCATAGATGAAGCAGAGTTGACTTGACTGGAGTCGCCCAAAGTACGAAGAACATGGAAAAGTGTGTTAGTGGAGAGAGAAGGAATTTGGTCACCTTACCTAGAAATTTAATAAAATCAAGTCCAATTTTTTAAAACAAATCACAATCAAAATATAATTACATCATTAAAAGTATACGCTGCATGCGAGTTTTCTGAACGTTTATAGCCATGAATATAACCTGTAGGACATGTTGCACGATTATCTTCATTAGAATGACTAATTATTGGACATCTCTGCGTGGATGGTAAGCTTGATTTTTATGATTTGCTTAATTGATTTCGGTCTTCATTAGAATGACTAATTATTGGACATCTCTGCGTGGATGGTAAGCTTGATTTTTATGATTTGCTTAATTGATTTCGGTGGGGATTACTAATCAGTATGTGTACGATTATGAAGAAGTAAGCTGTATATAAGGTTAGGTTGGTTGTGGTTGTAGAATATATAAGCTGGCCTCAAACGCTGACCATATATTGGTGTAGTGTATAGATTGGGAAGGCGTGGTCGGATGGTAGAACGTACGATTGCTAACCTGAAAGTCGCGAGTTCGAATCCGTGTTGTAGGACGTCCCAAATTCTATCTAGCTCTGGTGAGTACCTAACTCACATTGGGGAAACTCAAATTAGAGAAACGAACGCAGCTGGGGGTAGCGCTGACCACACTATCCCGATGTATGTCGAGGTCATTGAAAAAGATGAACTCTACTACCTCTACCCATTGTGTCTTGGTAACGAACGGGTAACGATGATGCTTCTGTTAAGAAATCACGATAATATCCTTATCTAAAACATTCACGAGAATATGCTGTTCCGGTGAAACTTTTCAAGACTAATCGATGCCCAATCGTGTGACAATCAGCTTGCGTGACGATTGAAGCTGAACTACCGCGTAACGATTAGATAAATCTTTCTGTACCGGCGCTAGCACGATATCGTTTGCTTTGCTGGCTTCGCTCATACATTGAATACATCGATCTGATTGAATCAATCGCCGTTTGAATGGGGGAATACGAGATCGAAAATGGCAAAAATTTTAGAAGGTTTTGATTGTAAATAATATTATGTCAAACGAATTACTTTACGTTTGAAATACATCACATTTTATTTAAATCTCAATACTGGAAAATTTCTGAAATGTTTAAGGAAATTGCACGGACGTCTAGTAAGTTAATATGTTTATAAAGTACATTTTTTAAAAAAATATTACCTAAACAAAATCTTCATAGACTGAAAGCCTGGATCGATTATGACGTCATATGGATCCTTTCTTACAATGCTCATCTATTATTAACTTGACATTTTCAAACTTTTTTGTGCCTCTGGGTTTTTTTTTTTTTTTTTAAAGTTAGTTTGGCCCAGCATTTGGTAGAGAAGTGGTTTTTGCTGCTGTTGTTTTTTAACAGTGTGGTTGTGATGAAGTTTGATAGTGGTGTTGGTGGTGCTTGTTTGTAGTTGTAGCCTTTTTTGTGACAGTGGGGATTTTGGTGGTATCTGTAACATTGTGGGTAGTTGTGGGTTTGGTAGTTTAGTGATTTTGGTGGGTTTGTGTGATTTCGGTTTCTTGTTGAAAGATTTTTATTTTTAGTGATTTTTGTTGATTTGGTTTAGCGGTATTGAAAGATTTTGTGATATTTAAAATTAATGTGGTTTTCTTAATAATCGAGACATTTTAATAATAGCGTTTTTGTCGGGTTTTTTGCTTTGTGTTTGTATGTGTGGTGTTTGGTTTATACAATATATAATGAAGAATATACATTACATACAAAGTGTTGTTCAATTATCATCCGGACAACACCAAAAAAACACCATTGAAAACCAAAGGAAATGTGAAAATCCACTCACTAGCTTACGATACCTTAAGAGAAAAGTCTCCCCACCCCCCTCCCCAACCCCCTTACACACAGCTACACACTACCGCAATGTAAAAGATAGCTAGACAAAATCTGTCTCCACCCCCACCCCCCCCACTCCCCCACCCCCTTACACACAGCTACACACTACCGTGATGTAAAAGATAGCCAGACAAAATATGTCTCCCCCCCCCCCCCACCCCCCCCTACACACAGCTACACACTGATGTAAAAGATATCCAGACAAAATCTGTCTCCCCCCCCCCCACACCCCCCCCTACACACAGCTACACACTGATGTAAAAGATATCCAGACAAAATCTGTCTCCCCCCAACCCCCCCCTTACACACAGCTACCCACTGATGTAAAAGATAGCCAGACAAAATCTGTCTCCCCCAACCCCCAACCCCCTTACACACAGCTACACACTACTGTGATGTAACAGATAGCCAGACAAAATCTGTCTCCCCCAACCCCCCCCCCCCCTTACACACAGCTACACACTACTGTGATGTAAAAGATATCCAGACAAAATCTGTCTCCCCCAACCCCCCCCCCTTACACACAGCTACACACTACTGTGATGTAAAAGATAGCCAGACAAAATCTGTCTCCCCCAACCCCCCCCCCCCCACACACACACAGCTACACACTACTGTGATGTAAAAGATAGCCAGACAAAATCTGTCTCCCCCAACCCCCCCCCCCTTACACACAGCTACCCACTGATGTAAAAGATAGCCAGACAAAATCTGTCTCCCCCAACCCCCCCCCCCCCCTTACACACAGCTACACACTACTGTGATGTAAAAGATAGCCAGACAAAATCTGTCTCCCCCAACCCCCCCCCCCTTACACACAGCTACACACTACTGTGATGTAAAAGATAGCCAGACAAAATCTGTCTCCCCCCAACCCCCCCCTTACACACAGCTACACACTACTGTGATGTAAAAGATAGCCAGACAAAATCTGTCTCCCCCAACCCCCCCCCCCTTACACACAGCTACACACTACTGTGATGTAAAAGATAGCCAGACAAAATCTGTCTCCCCCAACCCCCCCCCCCCTTACACACAGCTACACACTACTGTGATGTAAAAGATAGCCAGACAAAATCTGTCTCCCCCCAACCCCCCCTTACACACAGCTACACACTACTGTGATGTAAAAGATAGCCAGACAAAATCTGTCTCCCCCCAACCCCCCCCTTACACACAGCTACACACTGATGTAACAGATAGCCAGACAAAATCTGTCTCCCCCAACCCCCCCCCTTACACACAGCTACACACTACTGTGATGTAACAGACAGCCAGACAAAATCTGTCTCCCCCCCCCCCTCCCCAACCCCCTTACACACAGCTACACACTGATGTAACAGATAGCCAGACAAAATCTGTCTCCCATAAGACCCAAGTCCTACTCCCACATTCCAATGAGATTTAAGTCTGCGATTCATCCACGGGATTGATTTCTGATATCTAGGGACGGGGTATTTTTTTTTTCAAATTTTGGCCTTCACCCTTACGGAGACATCGGTACTGTACCGACGTGAGTCGAGGGGTGGGGCGGGCCAGTGAGGGGGTGGGGCGGGCAAGTGCGACCAGCGTTATTTGGGTCACTAAAGTTTAGGTATTCATTTCTGCTCCTCCTCACTCGCCTGCGCGATTTCCACGGCCACTTTCTCTCACTCATTGGTGCTTGAATGGCTTCCCTTTGGTGGTGTTAGCTATCTCCCTTGTGCTGTGTTATTTGCGTGAGTTGTCGGCCTTTACTGCGGTCGTTGCCACGATGAAAACCCCAGCACAAGTTGCACGTAAAAGTCACTGAAATACTTTATTTTAAACACAAATAATTCTTTCCTTATAACTACCATATTTTGTTGTTTTTGTATTTGTAGCTTGTTTTAAAAAAAAATTAAATTGTTTAACATCTTTTTGACCTAATTGTAGGACAATGTCTTTTGCAAGACATTTTAATCTTTTAATATCTAGGTCAGCTTTCGTTACATATTTCAAAGAATTACGTTTTTAACATGTAGGTCAACTTTAGAAAAATGTTTCTTGGATAGAACTATAAATACCTACATCATAAACTAAATCTGGAATATATTTTATCTCACGTCATAGTGTGATTGTTGATGGACGTATATAGCAATGTCAAGTGGGACGGAGTGGATTTGTTGTATTCATATACTTTTCTTAATTCTTCTAGAAAATTCTGTCTTTTCCATTTTGTATATAATTCGCCTTACTTGACATTTTACAAAATATCGACATTTGTTTTAATAACCTGTCGGTTTGTAAATTTAAAAAAAAAAAATCTATATCTAGCGTTAGTTTAAAACTATGCTTATTTTGCTAATACGTTGAGAGAAAAATTATATTAGTACGGTTACACTATAGATACCCTGACTGTCATATGAGCATTAATATTATGTTTCATAACGTTAAAACGCTTAACGTACGACAGGGTCATAGTGCTATTCATAAAGTTAAAACACTCAGCGGTATAGGCAGGTCATAGTGCTACAACAAGGTACTTGTTAACAAAACAAATATCATTTGATAAGGTCACTTGTTTGACATAAAAATTAAAGCAAGAAAGTACTATTTTAAATGTAGGATATGATATGTTGGTTTTGGATGTAGAACGCAGATCATATATTTGTGTAAGGTATAGGTTTTATATGCTAGTTGTGAGTGTATACTATAATACAGTAAAAAGTACCGTATCGAACCTGACAGTCTATGAGTCAGGTAAAGTAGAATTCACCTGTTTCTATAACCTATAATTAAGTGAGTTGGGTACCCTTTAGAGCTGGGTTGGCTCAGGGACGTCCTATGGACTCGGGCCCGGGATCCGAACTCGAAATATATTTACTGGTTGGAAATATCATGAGAAAGCTACATGTTTGACATCAGAGTTGAGGTACCCATCAGAGCTGGACTGCTAACCAGTTAGTCTCGAGGAAAGTAAAGGCGGCTGGGCATAGTGCTGACCACACTATCTCTTCATATGCCGAGGTCACAGAATCAAGTGAACTCTACTTCATTTGCCCCATAGACCGTCAGGTTTGAAAGGGAAACTTTACTTTACCTGTTTGACATACATGTCACATATAAATGACAAGTCTACACTCCAGCCGGCACTCCACGCTAGGGACGTCGGGTAAAACGAACCAGACGTGTACTGCCCACAACTTGAAGCATATTTTATGTATATCACACCCCACTTCCACGCTCTTCGAGACAACCACAGTGCTAAAGATGGCTAGCAGAGCATCCTGGGAAATTTAGGATGGATTTTTTTTTTCTAGGGGAAAAAATTGCATCTAGGCCACGCGTAATTATCGGGTTCATTAAGAAACATTTTTTCGGTTCGTGTTTTTCTCTCTTTCCCCCCACCCCTCTTCTCTCTCTCTCTCTCTCTCTCTTTGTCTCCTCCATTTTGCTTCTTCTTTCCTATTTATCTTTCTCTCACGCCATCCCCCGTCTTTCTATCTCACAAACCAGGCTTAGTAAAATATAATCTTTCACCAGGGCTATATAGAGAACGCCATATATCAACTCTTTCTCGGTCTCTCCGTACTCGATGCTTCATTTTCCTTATATTTTCTGTTATATTTTAGAAGATTCTCAATAAACGTCAAAAAGAGCTAAAAATCACCACCCCAACCCCTACTACAATTTCAATTTATTTTATCATCCTCAGGTATCGTTTAGGCATCCGACAGTCGGAAGAGGCCTTCAACACGTTCCGCGTCATCGCGGAATCCGGAAACATCGTCACGATGCGCGAGCTGACGTCACTGCAGGGGGAGACGATGCGGCTGGTGGTGGAGGCGGTGGACAACGGCGCCAAGCCGCAGACGGCGCAGGCGATGGTTAACATCCACATCGTCGACTCCATCAACAACGCTCCGGCCATCCGCATGACGACGTTATCCGGGACCCGGGTGTCGCGGATCATGGAGAACTCCCCGCCCGGCTACGTCGTGGCGCACTTCATCGTGGAGGACGCCGACTCGGGGGAGAACGGCGAGGTCAGCTGTCACCTCCAGGACGACACGTTCGGCCTTCAGAGGTTACAGGAAGCCGAGTACAAGGTCACGGTGTACAACAACCTGGACAGGGAGCTTGTTCCGTTTTATGACGTCAGGATCACGTGCATGGACGGGGGCACGCCCCCTATGACGACAACCGTAGCGTTTTCTGTCATTCTAGAAGACGCGAACGACAACCCTCCAAGATTTCTCAAGTCTTTATACAGAGCAAACATCTCCGAGAACTCTCAAAGCAGTTTTATTCTCCAGGCTGAGGCAGAAGACCTTGACCTTGGTCAGAACGGCAAGGTCACGTACAGGCTAGGCAACGTCACGTCGCTGGTGTCGTCATACATCCACATCAACCTGACCACGGGCGAGCTGCGCACCAAACAAATGCTGGACCACGAGCTGTTTCACGAGCTTGACTTCAGCATCGTTGCCATGGACGACGGCAACCCGAGTTTATCCTCCACCGTCCGCGTCATCATCGACGTCATCGATAAAAACGACAACATCCCGCAAGTCCCGACCGGGTTTTTTATGTCCATCCGGGAAAACCAACCCTACGGATCCGTCGTTGGGCACATCCAAGCCGTCGACCCCGACGAAGGGGACTCTGGGAAAGTCGGTTATCAACTTCTCACCGACAACGAGGCGACGGTCCTCTTTAGCTTAAACGAGACTTCCGGTGAAGTCCTGGCCTTGACGACCTTTGACCGGGAAACGCGCGACATCTACGACATCAACGTGCTGGCACGCGACTACGGCAGCAACCCGCTGACCAACATTCTCCACATCAGGATCCGAGTCACGGACGACAACGACCATAAACCGGTGTTCGACTTCCCGCGACCCAACAACAAAACTATCTTTATGACCATCGACACGCGATACAACACCACGATAGCCAACGTCAAAGCCACGGATTTAGACCTGGGGCCTAACGCGGCCTTGACCTACACGCTCGTGAACGGTGGGCGAGACGTTTTCGATATCGATCCTAGAACCGGGCGACTATTTACAGTCAAAAACCTATTCGCTAAAGACAAAGGGACGTATAATATCGAACTGTTTGTCCGCGATAACGGCGTACCTCCGTTGTCCGCCCAAACTCTCCTCACCATCATCGTCACCCAGGGCAACGCAACCGCCGCCGCTGTTGGTTTCGGATACAGCGAGCAGATCATCATCGTCGCTATCCTCATCGGCGCCACCGTCTTCGTCGCCGTCGTCGTCTTTCTTATCGTGCTGAGATTCTTAAAGAAAGACCGCAGAGACAGACGCCCGAAATACACGGGAGGTCTTCCCATGGAGGTCAAGAAAAGGTCACCGACCCCGGAAGAGGACGCGTCGAGCGACGAAGGACCTTGGAGACGGTACGACGAGGCGAAGAGACCGAACGGACCGGTAGTGACGTCAGGGGATGTGACGTACGACGCCAGTGACGACATCATCATGTTCAAACTGAAGCTGGCCGACCAGTACAGGGAGCTGGAGCCGGAACAAAAGGTACGTGGGCTTTTGTTCACCTTCCTCGAGTACCTGGCGGTACCAGGTAGTCTGGGGTACTTCCGGTGCCAACAAGTATTTAAACAACTTCGAACTAACGTCCGGGTAAGCTTGTTAATCTGTAATCAAACATGGGCTGGCACTAAATATATTTTAAACTTTTTTCATAACTAATACATCCTAGAGGTTACTTTTTAAAAAATTACCTGTACTATTAAAGAACTAAATTTCGTTATGATTATTAATTAGGATTACGGCCAAACTTAATCACGATGTGGATTAAAAGAAAACATGCTAGCAAAAGTGGCATTCTTTGACATATATGACAATCTTTCCTGACATTTTGATCCAACTTACTTCTAAAGCTAGTCAAAACCAGCATTTCATGCAAGTCCGGGTCTCAATGCTACAGCACGACAATGTCAAAGTTTTAACCTAATCCACCACCTCTCCCCCACCCAATTTACATTCGCCATTTCACTCCCTCGATTTTGGCACCATAAATAGTCAAAATGTCAAAAAGTAATATATTTTAGTCGCGTCGAGTTTGACTCTCCAGGCGAGGAGTTAATCGAGATATTAGAATAGTCTAACTCGCGCATGGTGTGCGCGCGCATGCAGTCGACTACTCTCTGGCTCTTTGGGGTATCGTGACCAGGGACTAGGGCCGGTTATTTATAGCCACGGGATCAATGTGTAGGGGAGGGGGGGGGGGAATTATCGTAATCTAATATTAGAGGTTGGAATTCATAGGGGGTTGGTGTAGGAAGTTTAGTGAAGTTTGTCATGTTGAACTATTTAGTTTAGTGAACTTAGGCATGTTAAACTTTGTAGTTTAGTGACGTTAAAAATGTTGAACTTTGTTGTTAAGTGACGTTAAATATGTTGAACTTTGTAGTTTAGTGACGTTTAACATGTTAAACTTTCAGTTTAGTGAAGTTTAATATAGATCTACCAAACCACGTACGTTTATGTTGCGTAAAATTTACCATAAGAGGAAGTGGTGTTAATTTTAATCCCCGTAATATATAAGGTGACTACCTATTTCATTTGTTTTTGTCCAGCCTTATAACATTAGTGTCGCGTTCGCTTGTATAATCTCTTTAAGGGATTATCCAGTTCAGGTTTAATTTTTAACTAAGGGATTAGTGTTAAATGGATTAAGAGTGCAACAAAATGCGTGAACATTAACTCGCACATCTAGAGTTGAGCTGGAATCTGAACTTTTTGCTGAATCCAAAGTGAAACGTAATACTTATTATCTTTAGCGAATATTAAAATAAACGAACTAGTTCTGAGCATAGCCAGCTCTGATGAGTACCTGACACGAGTTGGGGAAAATCGACACGGCAGGGCCTTAGACTGATCATAAACTATTTATAATGTATTCGTCAAATATATATAAACTCTACTTCACCTGCTCTTGCTGAGCATCGGTCTTTACATGGTATTTTGACAGCGATAGGGGGAATGCTAGTGTTATTAGAAGCACTGGCGATTTGTTTTCAAACATCGAGGGTTTAAACAAACATCTTTGTTTTTATATCATCACCAACTTGATGATTTACAAAGAGTTTCTGATGAGTATTTGACGTACACTTCTTCCTTGTAGAATTTAGCCCTCGGCACTCAAAAACTGATCGCGTCATACTTGAAGTCAAGAAAGCATAGTTTTCTTATGCTAACCACACAATGTCTTCATAAGACAATGTCAGAGAATCGAATAAAAACAGCTTTATATTTAATTAATTAATTAATCCATTATTCCACCCCATCCCCCCTCTCCTCACGACAGGTTAACAATGACAAACTGGCAGTCAAGAAAGCAACATCTACTGTCTTTATATAACTAGCCGCATAATCCCGTCCTATTCTATACCTTTCATCTCGCTTTAACCCTAACATTCTCTTCTTAAAAAAAAAGAACATCCCCTTTCATCTAAGCTTATTACAACTAAACAAACGTCTCCCACATGCTGTAAATCCACCTCATCCCCACACAAATCCCCCCACACACAAAGCCCCCGCACTAAGGCGCTTCTCATTAGCTGATGAGCACTTCTATATTGTCCGCGTCACTCACACAATACCGCCCCCTTTGTGAACGTCGTTCGTCCTTTGAATTCGCGCTGTGTAGGAATCTGTACAACCCGCGTCTTGTATGTATGTATGTTTATTTTTTTTATGTAAGAATAATTTGCTTGATTGACGTGAAAGCCTAGTTTAGACATGCAAGCAATTTCCCCTATAGCTTCCAGCCCAGCTGTCGGTTTATCATGCAGCCGGGGAGACCCGGGTGTCTCCACTAAACTCGAGATATAATTATTTCATGGATTTTTTGTATTGCTGTTTATGCGTCCTTTAATTTATTTGTGTTTTTGTTTTATGTCTAACTTAAGTTCAACGAGAAGAAAAACATAAAACTTTTAGCATTGCTGCACTGATTATCTGCCATTTATAGAATGTTGAAATATTATTTTAATATAAAACAAGCCGCCAACGGACATTTAAACATTTTGTTAAAGTTTCTTTATATATCTATATATATATATATATATATATATTTCTCTTCTTGGAGTCGTTAGAAAACACCAAGCTGTAAGCGCGCCTAGCAGTCCCCTCTCTTCCTCTCTAAGCATATCGCAACAACCCTCACCCCCACATGGTCTGGTGAGCTGTGGTTCACGCTAAATATTTACAATCGTAGAGCCGGGTTTAGTGACGCCTATTAGGGGCAGATAATTTAGTTTGAAACTATTTTAAACTTAGGGGAGGTAACTAAGAGGAGGCTGCTTTCACTGGGGGGGGGGAGGAGGGTTTTAGTGTTTTAAAGCAAATATTTTCAGTGACAGCATTGGTACTGTCGAATTCACCAATTATGAATTAATGAAAAGTAGAAAATAAAACTAAATAGCGGCGTGTAATACGCCGCGTGTTGGCTCGTATATATATATATCTAGCGAAATATTAGGATGCGTATTCTTTTTACTAAACGAACACAAAACATATTCTTACTTCATTCCAGATTTATTACTTTACTATCTTTATTTACCTCCCCTTTAAAAAAAATAATCTCAGAACCGGTTGCCGCCCTTTATATAAGAAAACATCTCTTTACTTACTTCCCCTGGATCTTCCATGTACTAATATTTTCCGTCTTGGACTAATAAAACCTCGCCCAGGAACTCATTTGATTTCAAATACTGGCAGACGATAGATGTACCTAAATCTGAAATAATCTCCCTCCTCAGCCCCCCACCCCTCATGACCCCCCCCCCCCCCCCCTCTTCTACCATGAAACCTCAAGAGTATTATAACCCTCTCTCTCACGTAAGGATATAAAAAAACATGAAATCATGGGCGCCATCCGCCTGCAACAGTCCAACGAAGCTGTCACATTTGCATAAACCTACGCAACTTCCGGTACCAATATCGGGGGCCATCTTGGCCGGATGCTGCGGACGAAATTCTTAATTTTATTCATCCGTCAAAATGAAATAATTTCTCCCCCAATTTTATTACCCAGCATCTCGCGGAGAGTGACGTCGGCGAGTAATGGCGCGAGATTAACGTCAACTCAGCGACATGATTATCCCAGCATTAGAAAAACATCACCGCCTTCTACGTCATAGGCAGGGGTGGTTTTCTGCTCGGCTTTGTCAGATTTTGTAAGTCAAGTCAAAATGTATTTTATAATTTACTGTCAGTCTTCATGACTTCGCATGCACCAGAGCTGAAAATCAAATCAAATAATTTCAACATTTAAAATCAGCAAAAAAATTAAAATGTTTTATTTTTCATTTTTTTAATAACAGATTCTGAAAACAGTTCATGCATTTATAATTGTAAAAGCACATGCAATGCATGCATTAATAATATTTTTTAAGGCTAGAAAACTCCAATTCTTAAATTATGTAAAGTAAAAGCAATGATTGCTATTTAGACTTAACGATCCAGTAGGCAGATGAAGTAGAGTTCATACGTTTCTCGCCCTTGTCATATGAAGGCTTGTTGTGGTCAGCTTTATGCCCAGGTTAAATTATGTGATAAGCTTCTTAAACGTAAGTAGCAGCAGTATGTTGCACACACAAAAATTATTTAATAAAAAAATAATGCCTAATTAGTCCATAACGTATAGTTTTTTTTTTTTTTGTTTTTTTTTTGTTTTTTTTTTTTTTTACAAATAATTGAATTTCTAACAGTTTCTTGACAATAATTTAGACTTCCTGTAGTTAAATGATTTCTACCGTCTTAGGGTCGAACAGCACCAGCTAAAACCCAGGCCTTGGATAGTAGCACCGTCAGCCAAGTTCATGACAACATAGCTTAGTCTTTCATGAGACGCTGGGTTTTCATCGGCCCAAAGTCCAGCTTTGATGCATAGGTCCTTACATTCCCCTCTAGCAAGAAAAAAAATACTTCCGCCGCCTCATCAAAAAAAAATGAAAAAAAAAAAAACAGCAGCAGGATCGATCATAACTTCGTCCCAGCCTAGTTCAGTGTACTACAAAGACGTTTCTCATCAATCTATACCCATAATAACAGTCATTACAGCATCCAAACTATCGATTCCTTGTTCATCACAAAGATTAAAACACCGGGTCTCCAGAGATTTTATGCTCGTACAATTATTAAAGTACAAAACAGATTTAATTCCGCCTCGTAAACTTTAGTTTAGGGAAATATCAAGAAGGTTTAGGAAATATCAAGATTTTTTTTAAACATGTCTGATTAAGAATCAACGTTAAATATTTGAATTGCTGATGTTTGGAAAAAAAATTAAAGCAGAAATCAACCATTTTTTGTTTTTCACGTTTGATGCAAATCGTACAATTTTCCTCTGAACGTCTTTCTCCTCTTTTCTCGGAGGTCTAGAGTTCGGATTTTGGTTCGGACTTGTGACTGTAGGTCTCCCCTGAGTCAACCCAGCTCTGATGGGTACCTAACTCACGTTAGGAAAAGTAAAGGCGGCTGGGCATAGTACTCATCACACCATCCCC